AATCTCAGATGAGCGAAGATCTACGCTAATTTTCCAGTCGCGACCTGACTGCGAATGTACAACAATCAGACTAACGAGAACATACTTCGTTCCTGACGACACTCGTCAGGGAACACTGAGGGGCCCGCGACTGATTTCCCCCCGGGCCCAAGATTTCTCTCCCCGGCCCTGCCGATACACATCAGTTCTGAGTTTTGACCCGCCTCTGCTTTCCGTCATGGAGAGTTCCCGCTGCCCCATCGATCTCACTGTCACGATCGAGACTACACCAATTCCGATCCCTACCGAGATTCCACAAATATAGATCGCCATCGCCATGGACCAGTACGAGCTTCATCGAGTCGGACGGATTCCCCCCATGCAATGCATTAAATGCATGGGCCGAAGCGTCTCAGACTTCCTCATTCTTATCATACCGAAACTCATTATGTGGAAGCTCTGATGTCACAGAGAGATGTGGAGCTCTGATGTCTGCATGTAAGAGGCCCACTCGGACAGATGAGGAAACTGCATCAGCTCTGGTTGACCCGCGAGCGAGTTTCTAAACGAAACCGCTTGGACTAGCTCGCGATTCCCTGCTGAGAAGGAGAAGGTTCCCTGTTATCGATTCCCAGGTGTCTGAAACAATCAATTGCCCAGAATGATTTATGACGAAATTAAATTGACGTTCGGTCCAGCTTCAGCTTACGAGCCGCCCGCATGAGATGCGACCAGATGATCGGCGTAACTAACGAAGCCCTCGAGTTGATTCTCCGCCCGACCTGCCGGAACGTCACGCTATATAAATCGGGACAAGCGTCCCAGATCACAAATCGAATCGCAAATTCGAATCAATATGAAATACTTCATCCTCTTCGCCATCGTCCTCCTCGCCTTCGCGGCCAGCGCAAGCGCGCAGAACTTCAACTCCCAGTTTCAGGATTACATCAACCAATTCCTCGGTGAGCGCCCGCATCTCCCACAGTTGAAGTTCTGGACCAGATCGAATTTGGACTCCTGATAATTCACTTCGATTGCCTACTTTTTCCTTCACAGAATCGCCCTCTGGACAGCGACTCAACAAGACCCGTGAGTTTTTAAAAACTGGTAGAGACCACCCAGCCTACACATGCTCGAAGCTCCCATTCATAGAGCTATGCGGCTACGCTCTAAGGGATAACTCCTTTGAATTTCCAGTAACTGACTTGAGACAACAGTTCGAGGCGATGCGAGATCAATATAGCTCGGGAGACTACTTCGGAGTGCGGAGCACCACCCGGGGCGCTTGAGACTGCTCAGAGTCAATCACCGAATCCTATGAAATTGAGGGAAGAAGGAATATTTGAAGCTTCCTTAAGTTCTGTAATAAAATATGTCGATTGGGCTCACCGCAACCGAGGAATACCCATTCTAGACACTCTGTGAAGGCGAGGTGTAGGAACAGGATGAGCTCTTCTGAAGCTGAAATTCTTAAGTGATACTCCACACGCTTTCAAGCGAACTCCGCAGGAAGTTCCACTCGGGCTGAGATTTCATCCGGAATCCCGAGGAGCTCACGAGCGCTCGAGAAAGACCCGTCTTCATTGCCGCCTCGTCTCGAGAGCAGCCAGCGCGGAGTGACTAGTCTCGTGCGATTCGAGCTGCGCACTTGTTCTATCTTTCACCCTGACTTAAATCCTCAGCGGAATTCGAGGTCTGATGAGGCGACTCAGT